CATATATACATATATATATATATATATATGTCTACTTCTCTGTAAGTTATTTTGTAATATTTAATTTTATACAGTTTACAGGCTGTGCATTTGGATCAGCTGCTATCTGGCAGTATGAATCACTGAAATCCAGGGTCCAGAGTTATTTTGATGGTGTAAAAGCTGATTGGCTGGATAGCATAAGCCCACAGAAAAAAGGAGACCTCAGAAAGGAGGTAAAGATCAACCTATTTTCTTTGTTCTAACGAATCGCAGTTTCTGAAGCCCGGGTATGAAGTGTTTGTAGTTAATGGCAGCATTCCGTCCACAGATGCGAAGTCAGTGCTCTTAACACTCTCTGTTAGAGTCTTTCGCGACGGTAAGTACTTATTAGTGTGCTGTATGTCTGGAAGTGTCGCTCTTGGGTGTCCCCAGGATTTTGCATCAAAGTCACCACAGAGAGTTGCTAAGAATGAAAGTCGGGCCCCAGTGCCTCCGAGCCTAGTTGAAAGGCTGCTGTCCTGCTCGCAAGTGTACCTCAGAATCCCAGCCTTCGGGTACAAGGGTTGTGAAAAGCACCTCAGGGCAGTGTTACGTAGGCGCGGTAAATCTCCGCAGTGTGCCTTTCGGACTGCTCAGGGTGAGATGCAGGAAGAGTAACGCTGTAGAGCTTGTAGGTCTTGCACCTTAGATGTAACAGCCCTTTTCCCTCTTAGCTAAAGCATATAAGTATTTATTTTACTTGTCAATACTTATTGAGCATTCATGCCATAGGTTAATATGTTTCCAGCTCCATTTGGTTTTCAAACACCTTTTTTGGAGCCAGGGTCTTGCTTTATAGTCCGGGCTGGCCTTGAACTCACTATGGAGCCCAGGCTGATCTTAAAATTCTGGTGATCCTCCTGCCTCAGCCTTCCGGGTGCTGGGATCACAAGCCCGCACCACCACACCTGGCCCTCACACACCTTTTTGTAAGGATACATTTCCTAGCTAGTTTGGAGAGAGATCAATGTCGTCCTTATTTTTTCCCTTCCCAGGAACAACCCAGTCCTGGTCAGCAAGGGCCTGAGAAGGAAGGCCAGGTTCTCCTCTTAGTGACAGTTTGAGCTCCTGTACGTGAGGAGGATTCCTTCTTCCTCGTTTGGCCATAGACACATCAAGGAGCTTGAGCAGTGCTGTGGAGTGCGTGTGCCAGAGCGGTGGAAACATTTACCCCTGAAAACGGTGGCTTGTGCTGTATCTGGTAATAGGACCCTCCCAGTCTGTAGTCCGGTCCCTCCGAAAGCTCCCAGTTTCTGCCATGTCTCTGTACTGTGCAGTCTTACTGCCCATATGTTCCCAGATGGCTCTTTAGAATAAGAAAAAAGAATGACGTAAACAATATACATGATCTTTTTTTCTTTTTGCCTCCCCCCCGCCGTACTGGAGTTTGAGCCCAGGGAGCCCTCCCTTCCTTCCTTCCTTCCTTCCTTCCTTCCTTCCTTCCTTCCTTCCTTCCTTCCTTCCATTCATGCTTTCTTTTTTTGAGACAGGGTCTTGCTAGGTACTTCAGGCTGCCCATGAACTCACTGTGTAGCTCCGGCTGGCCTCTAACTTGTGGCGATCCTCCTGCCTCAGCCTCCCAAGTGCTGGGATGACAGGCGTGTACCACCACACCCAGCAGGGAGCCCCTTCTTAATTTTATTTTATTCTTATTTTGAGATAGAGCCTTGTTAAATTGCCCCAGCTGGCCTAGTATTTGTGATCCTTCTGCCTTGGCCTCCTGAGTAGTTAATGTTAGTGTGTTATAGCACCCAGCTTCAAAGATAGACTTTAAATGACAGATTATATAATCTCTGTCCAATATAGACAAATGAAACATTATATAAAGTGGAAAATACAAGTCCTAGCCAGATGTGGTGGTGCCTGCATGAGGGCCCAGGTATTTGGGAGGCTGAGGCAGGACAGTTTGAACCCAGGATTTTGAACCCAGGCTAGCCTCAGCAACAAAGTCAGATCCTGTCTCAGAAGAAAGAGAGAGAGACTGAAAGTCCTGGAATTCCTTTCATACATGTACAGCAAGTGAGGTCTGGGAGCTCATACACAATTACAGATATGGAATCGCATTCATACTGTTTTGTAAATTTTTTAAACCTTGAATTTAACAAAGTCTGGTTCAATTTCATATGCATATATGGGGGGCAGTACTAGTGGTCAAACCCAGGGGCATTTTGCCACTGAGCTATATTGTTTTATTGCCACTGAGGTCTTTTTATTTTTTATAGGTAGACAGGGCCTCACCAAGTTTCCAGGGTGGCCTTGAACATGCTGTTTTAGCCTCCCAAGTAGCTGGGATTACAGGCATGTTTCACTGTGCCTGGTTTAGAATTTTTTTTTTTTTTAATTTAAAAACTTTAATCACGGAAATTTTCAAACAGATACAAAAATAGAATAGTGTAAATGGAGCCACTGTTGTTCATTTTCAAGGGCCACCAGCACGTGAGTGGTTTTGTTTTCCATCCAGCCCTTCCTTCTCCTCCCTTCTAGTCTCAGCACTGCTGTGAAGCAAGTCCCAGGCGTATTTCATGAGTTTCAGGGTGTACCCTGAACGTTTTGTGACTCAGTACCATTCATTACATCTTAAAGCCTTTATTACAAAATATTCTGAGAATCTTACTCTTTCTTTAGGTGTGAGACAGGGTCTGTCTGCGTGGCCCAGGCTGGTCTTGAACTCTATAAAACACACCTGTTTTCCAGTCTCCCCCATACTGACTGTTTACCAGTCCCAGTGCTCTTGTTACCAGCTGAGGAATCCCTCTTTCATACACGGGCATTTTCCTCCCCGGTTTTCGGTTTCATGGCCTGAAAGCATTTCACATGTGGTGACGTGCGGCTTTCCTTCTGTTATAGATTAACAAGTGGTGGAATAACCTAAGTGATGGCCAGCGGACTGTGACAGGTTTGTGTTAGCTTACGTGTTTTAGCCATTCAAGGGAAGAGAAACCCAACCAGAAGGTACAGTACATCACAGGAACAGCTTCCGTGTGCTTTGGGGTGGAGGATGAAGACAGTCTGTACCAATAGGCTGGTGTTTCAGCAGGAGCATGGCCTGGGGCGTTCGTGATTCTGGGGATGTTTGTTTTTATCTAGTGTGGTATTGACCAAATGGACAGTTTGTTGTAGAATCTTGGCAATAGCTCAGAGTAATTTTTTTGTTTGTCTTTGTTTTTGTTTTTTTTTTTTTTTTTTTTTTTTTTTTTTGAGACAGGGTCTTGCTCAGTAATTTAGGCTGGCTTTGAACTCACAGCGATCCTCCTGCCTCAGCCTCTCGGGTGTTGGGATTACAGGCATGGGCCACCAGCCGTGGCTAGCTCATGAGGAATTTTTACTTTGTTATCAGAATTGCTAAAGGAAACTGCTTCTGTACCCAGGTTACTTTATATACATTCTTTCTTGGGGCTGAGTAAAGGGTAGTTGTCCCCCTTTTCCAAGGTAAACTTTGAAATTTTCAAAGGTCAAACTGTAATAAAATAGTAGGGTTGAGATTTTAAACCAAGGTCTATCCCAAAAGCCAATTTTCTGTCTGTTCTACCATACTCTTTATAACATCCTCTTTAAACAGGCAGTACATGGCACGATAATTTGTTCTTTGTAAATTTTTATGGAAAGAGATTGGGCTCTTTAAGATAACATTTTTACAATGTTTTATGGATGGGTTATTTGAGAAGCTTGGGGAGGTGGATTTGTAAGGTTTTTTGTAGATAAGAAAAATATTTCTAGACAATAGTAAGATGTCTTTTTCTCATTAGATTTATGTGCTCTTAATTTGCCTGTACCTCAGTAGGGGAAGGATGTTGCTCTTCATTCAGACCGTTTCCTCTGTCTGGAAGGCTTAGTTTTTCTTTTTTACAGCATTGCTTCCTTCAGAAAGTGCTTTCTGTTTTTCTGGGCCAGTGCAGTTGCCGTGTATGACACCCCTGGCCTCACACACGAGCGTCCCTGGCCACCGGTGAGACTTTCCATGTTCTTGAACATCGAGTACGTATCTTGCACATGGAAGGGGCACTCAGTTCAGATCTGCGAGAGACTGTTAATCTCTCGGGTTAAGATCTCACTTGAATTTTTTCACACCATATTGCCGTGCCTGTGACTGTTGAATTAATGAATCCGTGTGCTGATGTGATCATTTCAAAAGATAGCTCCGTGGAAGCACATCCATTTCCATTGAGATAGTGTGTTGTGTTTATTTTCTGAAAGTAACCAAAACTAATAGCATTTCCTTGGGGTAACAAAGCTATTATGGTGTATTCTTGAGTGCTGCAAATGTTTTCTGCCATTTAACATGAAGACTGGGCTCAGAATTTTTTTTTTTGAGACAGGGTCTCACTATGTAGTAGAGACTGCCCTGGAATTCACTATGTAGCCCAGGCTGGTGTTGAACTCACAGCGATTCTCCTACCTCGGCCTCCCAAGTGCTGGGATTATAGGCGTGCGCCACCATGCCCGGCTTGGGCTCAGAATTTAAAACTTCTTGTCATGCCAGTAAATGGTAATTCAGAGAAATCATTTGGAATGTAATTACAATCAGAATAAAATTAAATATGGAATAAAATTAAAAATCAGAATTTTATCCCTTGGACTTTAAAAAAATTGAAACAGAATAATAAGTATTATCATTACTGTATAACAATATAACAATAACGTAGCAATATAAATAATTGTATATTATATATAAAATATATATTTATGTTATTATTTATTATATATAAATATAATAATAAGTATTATTATTCCTGTATGCTGGAGCATACAGTGTTTTGAATAACATCCTATGAATGAATGGTCATGCTAAAGATCTCACACCTATAGTATCACAGTGCCCAAGAGACTTAGGAGCTGAGGAGATGTTTTTGAGCCCTTGGCCTTGTGTGCAGTAGTGGTTCTGGCTTCACAGTGTCGGTCAGTGACCCTACCACCCAGTTAATGGATGCCGAGTCTCAGAGGCGAGCTGGGCTTCCCGCTGTGTCCTGCCGCCTTACGGAGTCCCCATGCTTAGCTTCCCTTGGCCTTTCTTAGGCTGACCCTAAGATCGGAGTGACACATTGACGCTTTCTCTCCTGGGATTACAGCCGTTCTGAGCTGCTTTCTCCTGTTCTGTTCCTCCGCACCGCTTTAGAGTGCTGACCTGGAGAGTTTCCAAGCCCTGTGAGACCCGAGCTTTGGTCTGTGTGGTGTTCGTTCCTACACAGCAGCATTGTGGAAGCTCTGAGGGGTTAAACCAAGCCCTTCAAGCTACTGGATTCTTGACTTAGAATGGCAGGATTTTAGGGAATATTAAGTTCAGATAGCAGAGTGTTTCATTTGAGGGTTTTGGTTCCTGAGTTTCAGATAGGGATGTCTCAAATTTATACCTTTGGGCTGGGGATTTTAGCTCAGTGGTTCTGCCGCCTGCCTCATAAATGCAAGGTCCTGAGTTTGATCTCTGGTACAAAAAATTTTTTTTTATCTTTTTACACATTTTTTATTAATGTGCACTGTTACAGAGATTAGTGGGCTTCATTTTGGCAGATTTGTATGCGCATATAACATATCTCCCCCTCCGTCCACAGCTTAACATGTTTTTGGCGGGAGGGTGTGGCTTCAGTGCATGTAATGTGTTTTGATCGTTTCATTCCTCCTGTTACCCGCTTATGTGTCTCTTTAGGTCTAGATAAGAACAGCTCAGATAGTGAGAGATCCCTACAGTATATTTCGCTGTTATGGCAGACTGGCGAGGTGGAAAACCTCCCTCCTTTATAGTTGATATTAATGTTTTACTGTGGTATTTCAATCTGTCCTTGAGAATTAACATTTTATAGGTGTAGTAAGGAACTAGTTTCAATTCTTTTTTGCTTGTTTAACTTTGGGACTTTTTGGGTTTTAATTGTCACACAGAAATGTCTCTTTAAACTTGAAATGGCTCAGAGGACTTTTGAGCTCCCTCGGTGTCTGGCCTGCAGGAGCGGCATGATGTAGCATTCTTCAGAGTTGGCCTTGGCCTTGTGCTTTCATGTTTCAGTGAGTTTCCTGTCCTGCTGCGATCTGTGATCTGTAAGGCTCTGAAACCGGCGGCCCTGGAGGGAGAGGGCTCTGGGGTGTCTTTGAGACCCGCGGGGCTTCCTTTAGCGGAATGCTGGCTGACCCTGTTGGGCTTCACGTAGGGAACCAGCAAAAGCATTGTTTCCGGTGGAGGGTACCCGGGCCGAGAGGGAAACTGCTCCACTTCCTCTGCCAGCCCCCTTTTATCATGTGCCAAGTTCAGGTGCTGCTGTGCCCGGGCCCTTGACCCTTCTGCCCACATCTAATGTCTATTTCTTTGCTGTTCTCTTTCCACCAAGTTTTTTCTTTTTCTTTTTCTTTTTTTTTTTGGTACCGGGGATTGAACTCAGGTCCTTGTGCTTGCAAGGCGGGCCACCGAGCCGCTGAGCTAAATTCCCCGCCCCCAAGTTTTTTCTTTGTGTTTAAATTTTCTCTTTCCTTTTACTTTTCCAAGCAAAATTTCCTTTCTTGCTCCTGAAGTTGCTGGTAAAGCAGTAGTTCCCTTGATCTGCTAGTAGTTCATGTTCACCCTTTAATCAGGCGCTTTTCTGTAACTCCTGGCTCTCGTCTTCAGGCAAGCTATTTTTGGGGAAAGAAGAGCAAAAATAATGCTTGAGTGCCCCCTAGGCTTGGAGTACTAAGCCAGGTGCTTTACGTGACTGTGTACAGTGTCGTCGTGACTGCTCGTCCCCAGCGCCCTGTTAGCGGTGCCGGGGCAGCGGAGCCCTAAATAACAGGCTGAGACCCCACAGCTGGAGCGGGTGGAGGTGGGGGTCAGATGTACTTCACGACTCCAGCACTCGCCGCTATAAACTCCCGCACTGCCCGCCCGGTCCCGCCTTGTCTGCCCCCTGCTTCAGAGTCGTTCCAAACCAGGCTGGCGGGGGAGAGGAAGGAGCCCTCAGTTAGACTTGGTCATTGCAAAATGAATAACGCCCGTGGTAACAGATGAAAGTGTAGTAAAGGGTGAGCGGTAACACTTCCTCGCTCTGCACGTCCAGCTCTGCGCTTTTCTCCATGATCACTGCTGCTTTGGTTCCTTGTGTCTTCTCCCAACGCACCTACTACGGTAGGCCTTTGTATCTGTCCCCCGAAGTCTAAAACATGGTAGATGTGATACATATTCTCTGTACCTCGTCTTCCCTTGTTCCCTCAGTGCTCTGGAGAACATCCGTGTCAGTAGGTCTAGGCCCGCTGCGTTTTTAATGTTTTAGTGAGGTACGGTATTGCCGCGGTGGCTTTGCACATATCGGGAGTACGACTCGCTAACTTGTGAAAAGTGAGCCCATCCCCAACGCGGAGACGAGAGTGCACCGCAGCCTCTCCTTTTCATGCATTGTAGTTTTTCATGTGAAAGAATGTCATCCATCAAGTGTTCTCTTTGTGAATATTCAGGGTACTTGAGTCTTTTTCTTCCACAAATAATGTTAACATATAGTGTTTAATTTCGAAGACATCCTCACCGAGGAGGCTGGCTGTCCTCACCGTCCGGCCAGGTGTAAGTTGTGTACCTTAGAACCACATGAGCTGCTCGCCCGTTCAGGCAGCGGGTGTGGGCGTTGGTGTTGGTGTTGGTGTTGGTGGGTAGTGATATCAAAGGGCCTTGCCTCCCTTATTTTAATTTTTTCACACCTTTGTTTGTTTTCTCCCATTAGTTTAGAACTGGGACTCCTCCTGGTTCTCTGTAGCTGTGGACCCAGATGGTGACTAGTTCTGTGGATGTTGCGTAGGAAGAGAAATGGCTCCCGAGAGCGGCCATGGGCGCGCTCAACTTGCCATCCGGTCTGGTCACCTAGCGGTCACTTCAGACAGAGGACTCTGCGGGTGACTCCGCTCACCCCAAAACAGCATCCGTGCTTAGCTGTTGGGCTCCACTGGGAGAGTGAGTTGGATTTTTTTTTTTTAAAAGAAGAAAGGCTGTATGGCCTCTCACTGGCTTAAGATGGGCCAGAGGTCACTGGACCAAGGAGTGCGTCCCACGCCGGTGCTGGACTTTTTAAACAACTGAGTTATGATTCGCGTTTGTATTCTACCATTTACGAGGATACAATTTAGTGGTTTTTGCTATGTTCACAACATCATGCAGCTGTCTAATCTCTCTCAGACATTTTCGTTAGCCCAAAGAGAAACCTGTTCCCGTCAGCAGTCACCCCCCCGTCCCCACTTCCCCTCAGCCCTGGGCACCCACTAATCTGCTTCTGTCCCTGTGGATCTGCGTTCTGGACCTTTCGCACAGCGACGTCACGTGAAAGCAGCCTTTGGTGCCTGCTGTCTCCACTTCGCATAATGCTTTTCAGGCTCACCCGTGCTCACCAGCTGTTTCGGTTCAGCCATTTCTTTAATTCCGCAGGGCATTGGGTCTGGGTTCAAGGGCGCTAGCCTAGTGCAAATCCCAGAGATTCACACCTAAGTCTTTTTCTTTAGAGGCACCTACGTTTACACCTTTTCTTCTAAGCACTTCGTACTTTGCATTCTTCCATGCAGGCCTTGGACGCATTTTGAATCGCACTCATTTGTTCATCGATCTGTGCATTTGATAGGAGGTAGACTCCAGACCCGTTGTTTGGCCACGGATAGCCACTTGACCCACAGCATTTGCTGAAGAGAATTTAATTCCTCACTGCACTGTCTTTGAGCAGAACACTAGTCCAAAGTCATTTGAGGCAGCCATGGTGGCACATACCTGTAATCCTCACTGCCTGGGAAGCTGAGTCAGGAAGATCACAAGTGTGAGGCCAGCCTGGGCTACTGAGCAAGACCTTGTGTCAAAAAATAACATGGAGTAAAGGGCCAAAGGTGTAGGGAAAGTGGAAAGGGTGGGGGAAGGTAATAAGGGAGAGGGAAAAACTATGAGGAACTGAAAAAATGGAAATAAAGTGTTTGTAAATGGGGAGGGGAGGAGGGGGTGAAGGGAGGGCAGGGCCAAGGGGAAAAAATGAGAACCAAGACCTGTCGTGTGAAGGTACAGGATCCCAGTGATGAATGTGACTGTATTGAATACCTAGATTGTACCAATAAACTCAATAAAAAGAAAAAAAAACAACACGGGTTGGAGATGTAGCTCAGTGATAGGGCGCTTGCCTAGTGTGCGAAAGAGCCCAGGTCTCCTCCCCAGCCCCACATTCAGAAGACGCAGTTGTCCTTAACTGTGGACCAGTTCTGCTTTGTTGGTCCTTCTGTCTGCCCTTACAGCAGAACGCTGTCTCGATCACTGTAGGTTTGTAAGTTTTGGAACAGAACTGTGAATCCTCCAACTTTGTATCACATGTGAACCAACCTCTGTTCTTGTGATGAGTTCCATCTGTTACAGTCTGTAACCCTATAGGCTGCTGGATTTGTTTTGCTAATATTTTCTCTAGAATTTGGTAGTTTTGGTATCCATAAAGCAGTGTTAGTAGTTCTCTTGCAATGTCTTTAGCTGGTTTTGATATAAGGTGAGGCTGCTTAGAATAAATTGGGAGATGTTCCTTCCTCTCTGTTTCAGGAGAGTTTGAGTGGTGTTAATTCGCCTTTATTTTTGGTATTCACCAGCTGTAAGCTGAATGGCATCCCCTCAGATCCTGCCCCCCAGAACCACAGAATGTTACCGTTTGAGGTAGTATGGGCGTGCTCTGCTGGCGGGGGCATGGCTGCAGTGACTTGTCCTCCTGAGAGGCAGGGAGGACAGAGGAAGACACAGAAAGCCTTCGTGCACAGGTGGAGGCAGGGGCTGGGGTGAGGGAGTCCCCAGAATCCAGGAGGGAGGAAGATTCTTCCCCAGTGCACGTAGAAGGAAGCAGGGTGCACTGACACCTAGATACCTGGACTTGAAGTCCTCTGACCTCCAGAAGTGATAAGAATATACATTTCTTTTGTTTAAACCACCAGGTTTGTGGTAGTTTATTGTAGCAGGCCTGGGAAACTAAATCACCTGTGAAGCCATTTGATTCTGGCCTTTGCTTTGTGCAAAGTTTCTTGATCACGGATTCAGCCTTTCTTGACTTGTTTGTGAACTATTTAGATTGTCTGTTTTCTTTGTGCATCAGTTGCAGTAGTTTGTGTCTTTTTAGGCATTTTTTAGTTTCGTCTAGTTTTTCACGCATTGGTATACAGTTCCCCCCACTGAACTCAGGGCTAAGTACGCCTTCTCCCACTGAGCTGCTCCTCCAGCCCGGTGGTCCTTTCTGCTCTCACTCCTGACTTCAGTCATGTGGAGAGGCCTGTGCACCTGTCTCTAGGTCGGCCGTCACGGAGCAGTAGCTGTGGCTGTGCTTACTGGGAAGCGCCAGTGTGTCTGGGTGAAGGGCGCGCGTTCCCAGAACCTTTGCAGTGCTGCAGCAGCCCTCCGATTTCACACACTGGTGACAGTTTTGATGCAGTGCTCTTACAGAATTGTAGTAGAAATTCTTACTCAGGTGGCTTTTGTTGTAGAGCATCTCTTCGCTCTTATTTCTAACATCTCTGTGTTTATTTTGCAGGTATCATAACTGCAAATGTTCTTGTATTCTGTTTATGGAGAGTACCTGCTCTGCAGCGGACAATGATCAGATATTTTACATCTAATCCAGCCTCAAGTAAGTCACTTTGGATTTAAATCACTCTGTGTGGTTTTATTTTGAGGTAGAGATAATTTGAAACAAATACGCTTTGTAAATTGAAATGCTACCAAAAACTGTGTTACTTGTCAATACTATAAGTGAAATCTGGAAGGTAGACAGTAAGCTCCGTAAGGACAGGGGCTTTCTTTCCTACTCCTGTGTCCCACCTGCCTTACACTGGGTGTTTGCCATCACTACAAGGGTGTTTGGTTTTTGTTTTGCAGATACTATTACACACAGACTCATAATTGAAGTAATTTACTCATTCTATTCTAACTTTTGAGATAAGGACTAGTTGCTTTCTCTGAACTGAGAACGTTCATTGGTTGCTTACTAAGTAGAGAGAGAGATGTAAGAAAGCTTTTCATCGCTTTGGAAAGGGCTGTCTTAGGCCTGCTCACTCAGCCGGCCGCTCTGCCTCCTGTGTCGATCTGTGACTAGGAGCGCGCACACCGGCTCCGTGTGCGGCCCTGGCGGCACTGTTCTCTTTCCTCGTAGAGGTGCTCTGCTCGCCGATGCTGCTGTCATCGTTCAGCCACTTCTCCTTGTTCCACATGGCGGCGAACATGTACGTTCTGTGGAGCTTCTCCTCCAGCGTCGTCAGCATCCTGGGCCAGGAGCAGTTCTTGGCAGTGTACCTGTCTGCGGGTAAGGTCCTCGAGGGGACTGCGCCCGCGTGCTCTGTACACAGGAGTGGAGGGGACACACTGGTCTCGGGTTGTACGTGAGGAGGGCTCCCAGGTCCGGTGGGCACGGACCTCCCTGCCCCTCATTCTGCAGATGCCTTTTCAGTGAATTACTCGGTGTGCTTAGTTTTAAATGAGGATAAACAGGAGTTAAGCTTTAGAGTATAATTTCAGCACTGGGCCTTGATCTCTTCAGCTCAGGCCTCCATTTTATAAATTAGTGGCTCCTAGATCTCCAGCTGTCTCGGTCATTGGATCTGTGTGAAACACCCTTAAGCAAGTTCGTTTTCCCCATAGTTTGGCATGCAGAAAGCTTAAATCTGTGGTATCCAGGGTGATAGTGGGGAATAGTGAAGTGTACTCTTTGTTTTGCAAGGTTGCATGTTGCCTTGGCTTGGAGCCACTTCTAGTCATGGTCCTCCGTCTTTCCCCTAGGAAATGATAGCACAGCACACGATTCCAGGCAGCTAGGTGCTGTAGAATGAACCGTTGCTCAAATTTTATTTACTCACTTACTTGTAAAACTTATTTAAATAAAACAGATACAAAAACTCATTTTTGAAGTCCTACATTGCTTAAAAACTGTTTATCTGACACTTGTGCTATTGGGAAAAAAGCACTGAGTTTAGAGACAGAAAACTTGGTTCAGATTCCATTTCTGCTATTCACCATGTGGTGTTGTAGAAATAACTACACTGAGGGACGGGAATTTAGCTCAGTGGTGCCAGCACCTGCCTCACAAGTGCAAGGCCCTGAGTTTGATCCCTGGTACCAAAAAAAAAAAAAAAAAAAAAAAAAAAAAAAAAA